CACCTGCCGCATCCCCTGCACCACCACGCCGGCCAGCGGCCCTCCAGTGGCAGTGCCTCAGCCTCCGGCTCCCCCAGCGATCCCGGCTTCATGTCCCTGGATGAGTACGGCTCCAGCCCTGGGGACCTGAGAGCCTTCTGCAGCCACAGGAGCAACACACCGGAGTCCATCGCGGAGACGCCTCCGGCCAGGGATGGGAGCGGGAGTGAGCTGTACGGGTACATGACCATGGACAGGCCCCTGAGCCACTGTGGCCGGCCCTACCGTCGAGTGTCGGGGGACTGCGCGCAGGACTTGGACAGAGGGCTGAGAAAGAGGACTTACTCCCTGACCGCCCCCGCCCGGCAGCGGCCGGTGCCCCAGCCCTCCTCTGCTTCCCTGGATGAGTACACCCTGATGCGGGCCACCTTCTCCGGCAGCTCCAGCCGCCTCTGCCCGTCCTGCCCCACGTCTTCTCCCAAAGTGGCCTACCACCCTTATCCTGAGGACTACGGCGACATTGAGATTGGGTCCCACCGGAGCTCCAGCAGTAACCTGGGCACGGACGATGGTTACATGCCCATGACCCCTGGAGTGGCCCTCATGGGTGGTGGCAGCGGCAGCTGCAAGAGTGACGACTNGGCTGGCAGGGCCTTTCCGGGGAACGGGGCCAGCTGCAAGGCCGGCTCCCCGGCCGAAAGCTCGCCGGAGGACAGTGGATACATGCGCATGTGGTGTGGCTCCAAGCTGCCCGTGGAGGGCCCCGACAGTAAGCTGCTTCCCAACGGGGACTACCTCAACATGTCCCCCAGCGACGCGGGCACCTCGGGAGCCCCGCTGGACTTCTTCTCGGCGGCCTTGCATGGCGGGGGGGAGATGCTCAGGAGCGTCCCCGGCTACTGCTACAGCTCCCTGCCCCGCTCCTACAAGGCTCCCTACACCTGCAACGGGGACAATGACCAGTACGTGCTCATGAGCTCCCCCGTGGGGCGCATTCTGGAAGAGGAGAGGCCGGCGCCTCCGGCCAGCGTGGGCCCCGCGC